CATCATCTGTTCGCTTGAAAATGAGTTCACCTGGCAGACTGGAAAAGGTAGGAGAGCTGTGCGTAGTTATTCTGCTTTAAAGGGGAGCTGCAGTCCTAATTTCTCGGACCGCTTATTAAATCTCGGTAACAAAAGTAAATAATTGACTGTATAGAAAAAAATGGACAGATTTTGAATTAAGCACAAAATGGTGAACTTTGTGAAAGTGCTGTACTGTAAGTCGCCATGTTGTCGCAAACTCGCATTCGAGTTGTGACGTGATGGGGCCCTTCCTGCTCGCTAGTCACTGGTGATGTACGAGTGAATAAGTACAGATGGTGCAGCAAACGTCTCATCACAGAAATGTTCCCATGTGATCTGCACGCAGAGGTAACAAGTAAGTAGTATTTGTCGGCAAAACCAGGCCACACCGGTGTGTTTCCTCAGGAGGTTCCTGGCTGTAGGGACTGAATGGGGATTTGTGCTTCACTGGAATCACAAATGGTGTTATGGTGCCTGAACAAGTGATATGTGCCAGCCCTTATTATTGACTACACTGGTATTTATGGATGATTAAATGTAATATCTGGTTATCTTATATTTTGAACACCTACATATATACAGTGTTGGACAAAACCCTAGATTATCGCGTCCTCCCTGTTTTGATTTGGTCTCAAAGAAAACTAAGAAACTTATCTTTCTGTACCGCCGTCTTCTGCCCAAACCTCTCAGCACACATTATAATTGATTTGATTTGATATTGACTTCTTGTCCCATGGCAGATCATATTTCTTGACCTAATTTAGCTCCATGGAAGTTTCCAAAGGCTTTAAACTCTGAAGCCGGAGAAATATTTTCTGCCAAGCCAGTAATTACACAGAGGAGATTAAAAAGCCGAGTGTTGCAGGGTACTCTGAGATCTGTCATTTCTCTGTGGACAGAACTCTAATTTGAATGTCAGGCGTTTCAAAACATTCCTCTTCATAAAAATGTCATCGTAGACTAGTTTAGATTCTGCAGGCTGCTGTTTATCGACTTTGCAGTAGGAAAAAAAACAGGCAGTGATATTTCTGATAATAATTTTCAATATTATAGGAACGCTGAAGCAATTTCATTGCATATCTAGTGCCAAGACAATCCAGAGACGAAATTTCAATCTCACATACAGTATAAAATACCTCAGTATAATATTTTACACGAGCCAACGACTGAGACTCAGTGAAATACAGAGTGTTACCCTAACATAGTGATTAATTATGTTATTAATTATGCCAGCAGCCATATCACCCTGCAACTCACAACTGGCAACCCACTGAAGCTAAGCAGGTGTGAGCCTGGTCATTACCTGGATGGGAGACCTCCTGGGAAAAAACTAAGGTTGCTGCTGGAAGAGGTGTTAGTGGGGCCAGCAGGGGGCGCTCACCCTGCGGTCCATGTGGGTCCTAATGCCCTAGTATAGTGACGGGGACACTATACTGTAAACAGGCGCCGTCCTTCGAATGAGACGTAAAACCGAGGTCCTGACTCTCTGTGGTCATTAAAAAAAAAGGTTGTATCTTCTTCTGTTAATACTTAATACAACTGAATTATTAACAATTTAATTATTTTCTATAGGTTATTTACAACACCAGCAGTGTTTTTTTGGAAAAAAAAATCAGATGGATTTAATTGCTGTTCAGCAATGAGATACAAAAACCTTTGTTGAATTTCAGTAAATTGCGGAAGGTCTGTTTACAAATAATGTTGTCAGTCAGACATATAAATGGATGGATGAATAATCCATGGATGAATAGCTTTACTTTGCATAGCAAGTTTGAAAACAGTACTCTCAAAGATCAATATATGTAAGCACATTTCGAAATAAAAGAAAACTAAAGAAAACTACAAATCCTAAAACAAAGCAGATGATAATCTTCTTCTGGCATTTTACTAGCAGGTCCGCAAGTTTCAGTTTAGGTTTAGGTTTCAATTAACACAAGTTTAATGTTTCTATTGTTTCCAATTGCAGTTGGGGCGCATGTGTTATCATCGGGGATTTGCATATTAGTTCCTTCATACAGTTTACTTCTAACAGTTAAGGCTGCCGGTTATTTTCTTATCAGACCTGAATGCTTACACAGGGTCCTATCAAAGTGTGCCTCTTGCCCATTCTGTGCTTGTGCTCTCTAAATCCTCTGTCTCTTTCCAGAGATGCCTGTCTGTCT